CTTCCTAATAGAAAAGTACAATATCTATCTATCTATCCGTCTATATATATATGTATCTAATATATGTGCATGCATGCATATTGGCATATGAATGATTGACATTTATGTGTGCGATGAAAGAGCAACAACAATAACAGCAATGACAAAAATAACAACCAACATGAAGCATTTTTTGTATAAAGTATGTCAAAAGAATTATATTGACAGAAAAGGGCGGAACGAGCTTCTCTCGTCTTATATATTAGTATAGCCTGAAGGAAAAAAAAGATGTAACATAGTAAGAGGAACACGATCAGGAGGCGAGAAACATTATATTTCAAGATTGTACCATAATACTCGTTGTCATTAGACACACTATATACAAAATAACAGCAATTTCTTTGCTTGATTTTCATGTCAACTTGGATCCAAATATCTTCTTAAAATAGCTTAGTAACAAAATGTTATATACGGCATAGATTTTCTCATTATATAATCGTTTACAATTGCACAACGAATTTTTTTTTCTTATTATTAAATATTCAATAAAACTATTTCAACTAAATTTCTTCATGTACTCAAATTTTCAAGGATATACAAGAAAAGCAAGAATGATTAATTTTTGTTGAGTTATTAAGCCATCATTGAAATTCATCAATAAAAGAATACATGTAAACAATGTTAAGTTGACTTTGTAAAGTACGTAATATGAGATGAGAAATAATATTTGTTTTTTTTCATTACATGATGACATTCGTCGAAATTCATTCAATATACTTCTGTCAATGATATCTATATTTCTGATTAAACCGTAGGATACTGGACAAGTCAATATCTTTTAATAATAATATAATCATCCAGTAGAATTCATCTTTTTATCTACAGATGTATCGAATTCAATGATTTAATGATGTGAAAAATATGTGTTGAGAATAATTAGAAACTTTTATTCATTAATTTTCCCATTGAATACATGTGGAAAAGTATTGATTAGAGATGCAAATAAATTTCTCTTGACAGAATAGAAAACAACATATCCAAATTAAATGTCATTCTTGAGTTTCGACCTTTGTTCTTCCTCACGCTACTTATAATAAGGCATTTAAATGAATAAACAACAAGAACATTTCTTAATTTTATGGGTTTCTTTTTCTTTGTAAAGACCAAACATAATGCATTTGATATGGATTTATATATATATACATGCAACTAATTATTTAAGCACGATTACCATTACGGAAAGAATTCTCGAATGGCTGTAACAATTCTAACAGATTTACTATGGAATAATTATTTCCGAAGAGGAAAATATAAATTTCATTAGGCTTCATGATCGAAATCATTCATTATTCTCATCATTGATCAATAAAATTAGTTGAAGTTTTCCATTCGACAAATCTTTACTTGCAAACATATATAAAATGCTTGTTCAGAGTGTTTTTTTTACAGCTAAGTATCATGTTTAGACTATCTTGTGGAAAAATCATGTGTTCAGTGAATTTATATAATAAATGATACAGCATACATCCATTGCTTTGATTCATCGATGTCAGATGTTTTTTTTTTATTATGATGAATTTATAATGCCATAGAACGTGACGGGACGTCAATTCTTCTTAATTCTATACAGAAAGAAGTGTAGATGAAGAGAAAAAAGTAAATAACGTATTTCGTAATATTTTAGTTTTATTTAAATTCTTTCGAAATAGTATCAAGTAGCATAAGAAAACAATAGGAAAATATCAATTTTACATGATTTTCTATTAAATTTGAAATATGACCTATCGTCTTTGCAAACTCATATAATAAATCTTATACAGCTATATGAACTTATTTTATAAAGTACAAATAATTTACCACGGGTTCATATTTTACAATAATTAAACATATGAGAAACTACATAGAAATATTAAACTCTTTTTTTCTACGAGAAAAAAATTGTCAGTATTATCCTTTTGGGACGAAAATATGGAACTTATAGGTCTTTTTTTGTAGCTTTATTATATTAATAGAAAATACATTAAGTGAAAAATCTCTAATAAATGATAATTCTTTCCAAGAATAGTCGATTGGCAGACACATAATCTATCTTATTTATTTCTACATTTCGAACAATTTTTCTTTCGTTTAATTTTTTTACTTGTCATATTACAATTCGTTAATTATTTTTTTTTTTCTCAATGTATTACTATTATTATTCTAAGCATTTATTTAACTGAAAAATACGTCAGTTGTACACATCTATAACATGCCTCAATGTACTAATGTGTATCCCGATAACCTCAGAAACAGTTCTATTGAGTGTTTCTGGAAGCTACAATCTGATCAGTTTATACTGTTAATGTTGATGATATTATGACTGTGGAAAACCAAAAACTGCGTTATTTAGAAAAATAAAAATATATTACAGTCATTTAAATCTCAAGAAAACGCTTTGAAATAGTCTAACGAGTGAAGCTTCCCAACTAATAAATTGTTTTTGAATCGAAACTACGCACATTACATAGTACCAAATGATTTATATATACTATGAAAACAAATCAGAGTCTTGGTTTATTGCTGATAGAATACTGCATATTTATGATAGATTTTAAATGAATACCGTGGCCTCCTCCTTCAGGAGAACATCAGGGAAATTGGTTTTCGAATTTTGACTTGAAACTTTACATTGAGATAGTTCTTAAAGAAATTGATTTCCTGTGCATGTTTCAGATTTTGTCGTTGTTCCTACCTTAAAATAAAGTTATGATAAAAGGTGTGTTGTTTACATCGCTCATATATACAAGGCAGAAAAGCAAATCAAAAGATTGGTAAATTTCATAATAAACTAGTTTCATGAAGATCTCCCTCCGCATAAAGTTTCCACTCGAAATTTAAAAATGAGTATTCCTGTGGAAGACTGTTATTCATAGCTTTTACAAAATGCTGTTCAGCGTTTTCTTTTTGCTAATAAGAAACTATAGAAAAAAATTTGAATGCTTGTTGTTCTTACGAGGAAACATTCCCAGGTGTTGGAGCGATTTTTAATCGGGACTTTGCGTATCTTGTAGGCCTTGATGAATTATGTNTACGGCCGGATGTGTCCATTTGGGCACATCGATCTTTTTAGTGCCGAAAGAATTTCGTTCTAAAAGAATAGACTTCATTGATCTCTACCACAGTCAAAACAATAAATGTAATGAGAAGAATCTTTTTATTAGTTAAATTTTGGCACCCGACAAGAAAGGAATATGCACCGAAGAAGATATCGCTATTTGATGGCTTATGCAGCCGGCCGTAAAGGGTTAAAGTTTAAAGTACGTTACTTTAATTTTTAAACTTTTAAAGTTTAAAGTATTGCTTTAAACTTTTAAAGTTTAAAGTATTGCTTTAAACTTTAAAATTTTAAGTTTAAAGTACCACTTTAACTTTAATTTTTAAAGTTAAGTTAAAGTAACACCCCTAGTTCGAACAGCCTCGGATTTTTATTGGTAGATTGAGTCTCATTGGTAATTATCATGGAGGCTGTCTATCTTCAAAACGTTTAGGAATCTTGCATCATGTCCTGCCTTTAAAATATCTGTCTCAATAATTTAATAAGTATGTGAATTTTTTGAGTGATCTAGACATATTTTCGGAAAAACTTCAAGATTAAAGTCTCCTTTATTTTCCCCTCGAAGCTCTTTTAACTATTTCCGAACTTTGATGTCTATCTTTTGATCATAAAAATGTTGTACTGAAACTAAAAAACAGAAAAATTCTCAAAGCGTTCGTGCCCATGGCTCTTCCTTTCCGAGGTATGAACAAACCTTTGTCAACAAAAATATAGACTTTTTTTTTAATTTCTGATAGATAAAAGAAAATGTTCAAGAGAAAATATTTAATTATTTCATATATCATAATTTCGTCTAGCGGAAAATTGATATTCGAATTTATCAGTACTTGTGATTGAATTTCTTAAACATATTTAACATTTGAAATCTTTATAAATATAGAAAATAAGTGTGTGACAACTCATAATTCAAAATAATTAGCTCTGTTCAGATGACTACGACTAAGAGATGATTTCTTTTTGTGAAAGACTTGCTTGTGAATACACAATTTTTTACTCCTAAATTAGTCTTAGGGAAGGTCTATAGATTGCTCACATTGAATAAAATTGCCATAAGTTTCGATCAATTGGATATAATTTTTGTATTCAGAAATGTCAGAATGGTTGCTTCTCTCACGAGAGAAGCTGAATGATTGAAACCAGGCCAATTATTTTCTATAGAACTCGTACATATTTAATAGAGAAAGACGAAGTTTTTGACAATATAATAAACATTCTATTTTTTGCCATCAGTTTGATCATAAGTCTAGAAAGACAAGTCATGAACATGACCATATTTTAAGTTTTCTTAGTGTCATCGTCGCCTACTTACACTCAAAACATAGTGTTAAAAGCTCCAAAACAGTTAGAATACTTTTTTTTTCATGAATAATGAACAATGACTATTCATTCTATCATCTATGCTCTTAAACTTAAGGAAATAATCTCTTACTTGTGACTATGCTATAGCCTATCTATTAATGAAAATCAAAATATTTCTAAGAGTCGATGCTTTAAAATTCTATTGTTTTGATTTAAACCTCTAAAACTCTCAGAAGACACGAACAAAGAAATGCATTTAAACTACCTTCTCAACGAGATAAATTGTTAATTCCATTATCATAATGTCATTTGAAAGGCAGATTCGATTTTTTAAGTGTTAACATATCCTTTCCAACATATTTATTAAGGAAAAAAAGAATTTTTTTTTTTCTAAAATTACCTAACTCAATTAATTCTATAGACAACATATCCTTATGGAAATCAAGTTTATCTATTGACATTCGTCATTGATATTAACTTTAATTTCTAATCTATTTCTCCTCCTACTAAACATCTGACTATAACATAACATAGAATGGTTTATATTTCTAAATAAATATTTCTTTATTTATATTTAGATGAGAATTTGAGTCGATTGTCATCTGTTGATCTTCAAGAACATGCTAGTATGATTAAAAAAGAATTGTCAAGTGCAACAGCAGGATCACCTACAAATGCAAATGGAATGCGTCTTAAACCAAATTTATTGAATTATATTGGATTTACTTGTCTTGAACAAGCAAATTCGGGTCCATTTGCTGATGCACTTATTGCTAAAGAAGTTCATAAAGATTTTTTGAATTTAATTATAAATGGTACTTCAATGGAACTGTAAGTATTAGATTCTTTTTTTTTTTTTTCATTTTTGTTAATTGAAAATTTTGCTCGAAGAAAAAAAAAGAAATTTACCTATATTAAATGTACGCATAGAACAACATCAACAACAACAAAAGTCTAATTCAAGGTCTTTTCTTTTTGTTTCTATTGTCTATTGAATATTTTCTCAATAATTTCTTTACAATCATCATGCTTTGATTGATCATTATCATTCTTGTCTTTTCCTTTTTCATTTTCGACTATTCCAATATTTTTTGATGTACTTGATTTTGATGGTAGACGAGATAATGGTTTAACATTTTCTAAAGGAATATATGATGAATCAATAAATTGTTGATAAGATTCTTCATTTGATGATTGTGGTATTGTTGTAAACATGGGTGTAGCTGCATAGATTGGATCGATTTTACTACGTTTTATATTGCAAAGAAATGGGTAACGTTCATATTGTGGATTTATTAATGAATAACGATGTTGATGATGTTTATATGACGAAGATATTTGTGATGTTAATTGATAATTTGTTGATGGATTTGTTTTTAATTTATCAAGATCATAAAGTTCTAAATGTTCCATTGAATTACGACGTATTCGATGAGACATGAATTTCTAAATAATAACAATAATGAATTTCTTCTTTTTTTTTTTTAATATAATTTAGAAAAATGAAGGCAACTCGTCTACTTGGAATTATATTCAATAAAGCAACTGATAATTTTCCTGTTTCGCCTACACTTACCGATGTACGTATGTATAACACAGCATACAGAAAATTATATTAGACAGAATGTTATTGCTACAAATGCGTCTCCATCTCTCTCTCTCTATATATATATATATCATCAGTTTTTTCTCTCTTTAAGTAATGTCTCATGTCAGAATACTTGATTTGTCACATGAAGTAGGATAATAGAAGAAGAATACGTGCTATAAAGAACAAAAAATTAAGAAGAAAAAAAAAGTCGATGCTTTTGTGAAAATTAGCGTAGACCGAAGAACAGAAAAAAAATATATGCCAATAGAATCATGTTTCATTTATATGCTTCCAATCTGACGAGAGAATGTTTCCAAATATAAAATTGTTGTTTGCTTGAGATTATTGCCATTCAATCAATCATGATGAGTAGTAAAAAGAAGTTTGTTTTTGTTTTGTTTTCCGGTCTTCGCTTGTCGAATTATAGATGTTGTATTCAATTTTTTGCTCTACAAACATAGAACTATTATGACCTTGAATGATTGATTTTGTGAATTAAAATTTTTTTATCCTTAAATAAACTTTACAATTAATTGAAATACTTCAAAGTTTTAACCACAATAAAAGCATTCTTGTTATGACATTAACATGTCAAAAGAAACACCTGGTTTCGACTATGTTTCAAAAGAAAGACATTTTCATGATAAATTGATATCTTAATAAGGATATGTTTGTTCTAATTCAAACTTTGAAGATGTTTTTAATGATTAGAAGGTTTATATCAAAGGATATATATTTTTCAACCATCCAGGTACTTCATAAAGCAACAACTGAGTAAAAACAGTCCATAACTCAACAAGCAAAGATCGGAAAAAAAATAGACGTTTTTTTACTACGTAGTCATCATGCCCGATCGAGTGTCTCTAGTCTCAAGTGAAATACGATTTGACAGTTGGGAACGTTGTTTTCTCATACAATAACTTTATATATATATACTTTCTCGTAATCTAATTAAGAAGATAAGATGGTGCACTTCTTTTTTTTTTTTCTTAGATACTTATATCACTTACTGAGGCACTTCGTGCAAATAGCAAAGAAACTAAATTTAAATTGTATTTGGTACAAGCCATCGGCGAAATTATGATATTTATTGCTGGACGAGTATGTTATTGGTTTTTTTTTTTTTTTTTGTTTATTTATAATAGAATATTAATTAAATATTATTTTTCAGACATCCGATAATTCTCTTGTACCTGGTTTTACATATCAATTAATCAATCGATGTCTTAAAGATGGTGTAAGTTAAATTATTCGAAAAACAAAAAAAAAGTTTTTCTTTTTTCTTTTCTAAGGATGATACCGCACTTAATCATGCTGCATGTAAAATAATTGAAAATCTTCTACTTGTTGCTGATAAACAAGCAGATAAATTAGCTACATCGGATGTAGCTCTTGCACTTTGGAATATTGCTAGTACAGTTGGTAATAATGAACATATACGTGCTTCGGCTTTAGCTGTAAATTAGAAGATTTTCTTTTCTCTTTATATCTGATTAAATTATGACATTTTTCTTTCTTTAAGGCATTATGTCATATGGGATTATCATATCTTGATATTGTTCAGTCTGTCTTTGATAAAGTGACTATTAAAAGCGATATATTTCAATCAACATCATCAAAAGTTCTTCAATATAATATAACACTTTTAGCTATTTTAGCTAAACGAACAAAAAATCGTACAATGTTTATACAAGTAAAATATATTGAATGGAATAGATATTAATTGATAAATGCTGTTAGCATAATCCCTTAAGGATTATAATGTAAAATATGATGGAGTTGACATACTTAATCATATGAAGATTATTTTGTTCGATCTATTTTTGGATACATTTCTTCATTATTCTTAGAGTTAATCCTACGGAAATGCAATAAGGAAGTAGTTCATATACGATAACCAGATGTTATTGACTTACCGCCTTTTATCTTATATTAACAACGTTTTCTATAGTCTATAATGCAGAGAGTAGGTGTTACTAATGTATCGGTCTCGGATCATTTGTTGCTAGCGAGAGATAACCTATCCAATTGATAATTTTCGTTTGAGCTTATATTTTGTTCATAGGTAGGATTTTAAGATAACATATTTGCAAAAAGATGCTACTTTCCCATAACAGATTCAAAAATAGTTCAATTTTCAGCTATATGATATCTTAATAAGAAATTATCCAATTGAGGTGAAACTTTCAGAATATTATAAAGATCATCAGAACTATTGCTGAGGAGAATTTTAGGTTGAAACTCATTGTTACGATATTTCTTATGGTATCTTGCAATTGGCTGAAAGTTCAATAAAATGACCATAACTCAAGAAGAAATGTCTGATAGCACATTGGATTTTCTAGTATGATGTCTGTGGGGGTAGATACAGAATTCTACTCATATACTTCAACACTCGTTTTTTGATTGCGTTTCACAAAAAAGAAAATAAATATTTAAAATTTTTAATAAAAAATTCAAACATGAAATAGACAAAAAAAAATATCACAAATGGCAATGAATGATTTATTTTCATATCTTTTTAATCGCGAAAATAGGTGACATATTATTTAATTCTATAATTTTGAGTCCATGAAGTTTAGGATAACTATTAGTTATTTTTATATCCAAGATATTTTCGTGTTGCTTTTAGTGTCTATGAAGAGCTTATTGTCAGTAAAGTAATTTTGTGCAAATGTATTACTCAATATAATTATGAATATTTATTTTAATCTAGTGTGCTTTCGATCAAACGCGAAAATGATCGATGTCACTCATATATAAGTCTTTGAGAAACATAATCAATTAAATTAAATGAATAGTAGACATTTCGAACTCCTTGACATTTATGAATACTTCGAGTTGTTTGCTAATAAATTTTACTCAAGAGGAAATCTCTGTTGATGGCAATGCTCGATTTCAATGATTTTTTTTCTCCCTATAGACAGAATATAGTGTCTTAGGAAAAATTCTAAAAGCATTTGAACCGTTATCCCTTCTAATAGAAGATAGATTTATAGTTCTGAATTTTTCGTTATTATCGTCGGGTCAGTTTAATTCACTTTTCCGATGACCCACCTAATCTCAAAGGAAAATTAAAAATTGAGAAATATGAACTCATCTTCTAAACAAAACGATAGTAACGCAAGCTCTCGTAGAATTTTTACTAGAACATTCTATTGCATCTATATGAAAGAATAATCATTGAAATGGGAAGGAAACATCTCAAAAGATTCCCATCATAAGCCTAAAATTAGCCCCCCCCCCCCTTCCAAAGAAAACAAACATCTGCACCTGAAGTCAGTGCACGCAGATATTTCTTGAATAACTTTCGATAGGAGCCAGTTAGAGACCTGCGGTTTTCAGCATTTGATAGCCAAGACCTAGGAGCATACTTCCATAAGCAAAGTCTTTACTGAGAGAAAAAAATCCGAAGACCGGTTTTTCAGCGGATCTTTGGAAAACCACGCTGGATTTCTGAAAACTGACATTGGAGTATATTGATTTTTTTACATATTCGGAATTAGCATCGAAAACTAAGTCGACTCATGTATGGTTCAAATTTTTCCATGAACTTTTTTTTTTCATCGAAAAATTCATGAAGAGATTCGAACCATACATGAATCGATTTAGTTTTCGATGCTAATTCCGAATATATAAAAAAACTCAATATACTCCTATGGAAGTTTCCAGAAATCCAGTGTGGTTTTTCAAAGATCCGCTGAAAAACCGATGTTCGGATTTTTTTTTCTCAGTAAAGATTTTGCTTATGAAAATATGCTTGTGGGTCTTGGCTAGCAAATGCTGAAAATCATAGGTCTAACTTGTTCCTATCGAAAGTTATTCAAAAAACATCCAAATGCACTAACTTCAAGCACCGATATTAGTTTTCTTTCTATCTAATACTTATTTATTATAGGAAATATTGCCAAAAATGAATGTTCTTTATGAAAATACAAATGTTCTCATTCGTGCAAAAGCATATACTTTAACTTATGTTCTATTATCTACATACAGTGAAAGTCTTTATACATTAAGTGATACAAAGTATGTTGACAAAAACAAATTGTTAATAAAAATTTAATTTTATATCTATAGACTTTTTCAAGCAATTGAACGTGATGTTCGTCGTACATCAGCAGATCCAGATGAAAATGATTTATTACATGAAGCACTTAATCGTTTAACAACACTTTTATCAAGTCATCTTAATCGAATATTAGGTATATTTATATTTAAAATAGAAGAATAACTTAAATTTTAAAAACAAAAAAAATTCTAGATGAACTTTTATCATCTACTGAACAAACAAGAAAAACATCATCAGCGAAAGATGCATTTAAAAAATGGTTACCATCATTTCGATTAATATCAACTATTATAGGAAATCATGTAAGTTAATATAAAAAAAAATAAAACATACGATTTATTTATTTCATTGGTTTCTTTTTTTTTAGTGTATTCGTTCTCGTGTTGTTACATTAATGTCAATTAAAAAATTATTTAAACTTTTTTCTAATATTAAACTAATCGCTGAGTTAAACAGTGAATTAACAAAAGGTAAAATATTTAGAAAGATAATTCTAATCAGAGAATCTTTTTAGGTTATAAAAGAAAACCTTGAAATTCAAATTTTATTGATAACTCGAGAATATATAGATTAGGGAAATCTCGTAAGGATGCAAGAACAAGTTAAAATTTGATTGAGATACCAAATTTTGAATCTCGACCTAAAACTTTGTCTATATTAAAGTCACAATTAGGCTAATTTAAGAATGTGCAGCTTCAGTTTATTGGCTACCGACATCACGGATTCAATGTAGTTATTACATAATAGCATTAGTGCCCATTGAAACGCATCGTTAAACAAAGAGAATGTTTGGGATGGAATTGGGGTTTCAATGTGGATGTCAATGTCCCGGTGATCTCACTATTTAGTATTTACATCCACAGTTGCATATTTTTTAGGCAACTTGTCTATAATGGTTTCAAGTTTTTGAATTGATTAATTCTGAGATATCAGTATATTAGTCTAAAGACTCTGTTTTTGTATGGATATTGTATCATTTTGAAACGTCGACGACACGCTAGTCTAATTGTGACATTGACGTAAACAAAATTTCAGATAGCTGGGCGATTACTTTATTTGATACGTATTCACAAGGTATTCCCTTCAAACTTCACTATTATCATCCATGGAATGACCTTGAACAAGTCACTAATGACTGTCTGTCTTGAAACATATGACTACAGTGTAACATACAATTGCTCTTATGACTATTTTTTGTGTATGAGAAATTCGAGCAATTGAGGCAATATTTCTATTTCAGACCGATCGTCCGAAAAACACAATGGTGTTTTTCCTTTCAGTTCGAAATTCGAAAATTTTGGCTTTAGTCCAAAAAAATGAGTTGTAACGAAAACTTAACGTTTTCACAAAACACAAAAACGCAGCTACTTTCATTATAAACGATCCATAAAGACGTTTAAAAAAAAACAACTTTTCCATTTGAAAAACATGTAATCATTTTTACGGACAATATTTCAACATATTTTTCCGATAAAAAAAATGACTATTTTATGCGTGGTGACCTTTTATGATGAAAGTAGTTGGTTTTAGTCTTTTCTGAATGTACATGAAAGTGTGCAAACGAGAACCAAAATTTGAGCATTTTCATACATGTTTGTCTACTTGAATTACTTTAATAAGAAAAAAAAAAACTTTTTTCTTATTTGAAAAGATTCGATTACAAAAATTGATTTTTTTTTCTAGGTCCATCATCATTAACTGAAATCATATCATATGTCTCTCAAACATTAGATGCATTTGTTCGTGCACGTGATCTTTTATCATTATTTAGTGAGATACTTCTTAGTGATCTTCTTCCACTTTGTTCACAATTACTTGTTTCATCAAATGTTGATGAATTTTCTCTATTTGCTTTATGTATACTAAATGAATTATTAAATGAATTAAAATTAACTGATTGTGTTTTACCAATACATATACAACATGACATAAAACAAGAATTATATCAAACATTTTTACCAATTATATGTGATCGACATATATTACGCGAAGAACCAATTGCATTACTTAGTTTACGTTTTATTCAAACAATATGGACATTAATTGATCATACATCTAGTTCATTTTCTATACTTTCACAATCTAATCTTATATCGAATTTATTTACTCTTATAACACAAAATAAAGATAAATCAACAGGTCCATTTGTTCAAGGTATTGTTTCTTGTTTAACAACATTATCTGAAAAACGAGAAATAATTCAAACAATGATTGAACAAGGTAAATATAATAAGAAAATATTTTGTTTCTTCTTCTTATTGTTTGAAAAAAAAAAAATTAATTTTTATTTTTAAGGTTTAGTATCAATACAACTTCAATTAATTCAAGATCAATTAGCTTTTACAACACCTGATCGTACAATGATGAATATTTTACTTGAATTATTATCTTTACTTGATCGAGATCTTACTTATGTACTTGATATTGTTAAACGAGCATTACAAGTGAGATAAAAAAAAAAACAGCAACAATGTTAACAAAAAATAAATATGATTTGTATTTATTAGGTTAAAAAAACTGGAACAGGTGATTCTGATTTACCATCAATAGCAGAAAAAATATTACAAGTTCATAAACCTCTTGTTACTCTTGTTGGTCCAATGATTAATTTAGTTTGTTTAATTGAATTATTTATTATTTAAGAATCATTTTGTTTTTTTCTGTATAGTTACCTAATGACGATCCATCAATTGCTAAAATAGCTTTACATAATCTTTCTTTATTAACTCAATTGATCGGTAGTGAAGGAAAAGCAATTCTTAGTAAAAATCATTGTCATATATTAGGGTAAAAAAAAAATGATTTTTCTTTTATTTATTTTTATTTGTATTTGATTAGTTCAACACTTCGAACAACGGATACAACAAAACAAAAATTACTTCTTCGTGCTTTAAAACGTTTAATTAGTGGAGATAAACGTAGTTTGGATGTAGCTCGTTCAAATACAAATAATGAACTTACTCAAACATTACAACAATTGAAAAAGTCAGCAGCGTAAGTTTTTTTTTTCCTTCATTCTGTCTATTTGCTTGTCTTCTTACTATTCTTCGATTTCTAATTTTAGAACGGAAGCTGATGCCGGTCTGATTTCGCATATTGATGATTTATTACATTTACTCTTGTAATAACTAGTCTCTCTTTTGTATATAAATAAATTTCATGTTTGCAAAGCAAAGATTTACTTAAGCTATTTCTATAGAGAAAAAAGAATTATATATAATAACAAAAATTAATTATCAATTTAGAAAAAATATTCAACTAATATTTGTCATTGTAACAATTTATTGAAGTTTGTCAAATATTTATAGTATTGATTTTACTATCATTGTTAAACTAATATAAGGCAAATAATTTGATAGTTTTGTTAATTCTTGATGATCAGACAAAAATTCTTCATAACTATTTACAACATGCAATAAAATTATAAGAACATAGTATTATTGACTTTTTGCGATAATGACGAGTACTTAACTTAAATGTTAATAGGGATTTAGATAATGAATAAAGCCCTGTATCAGATAAGTTATATATATCTCAAGACTTCATAATTCGACTATGTGAGAACGTTTTCTAATTTTAGATCTTTGTTTTCAAGAGTTCTATCTAGTAGAACATAAAATTCTGAACAGTATGTCGAAACGTCGCAGTTTTTATGATCTTTCCTTATAGAGTTACTGATATCATAAAGCACGAAAAATAACCCTTTTTTATGGTTTTTTTTGATAAACTTTGATTTATTTTGTGCTTTTTGTAATAAAAGATCTTGAAAAAACAGCGAAACTTCTACAATATTTTTTGGGATCTGAAAACTAATTGATTCGGTCATTTGAAAAAACTTTCACACATAGTCTAACAATGAAACTGTCATGTATAGTGCATTTGGTAGAAAAATTTATTCAATATTGAAATTATTATTTTCATTTGAGTTAGATACTCGACATTACAACAAAAAGTCAACAATACTTTGTTCTTTTGATTTTGACTAGTACTGTAAGTCGTTTACCATTTAACGATTATGTCGCGCTGCAATGACACAATTCACAATATTTAAATCAGAGATGAAATCTGTTTCAAATTTTTCAAAATTCAAATCAAAGTTAATATGGATACTACAAACCGAATTGATCCTACTTTTTGACATAAGTTATTTTAAATGTCATAACATTTAAAATTACATTTCATTCATAATCATTCTAGATTTTAATTAATTTGAAAAACAAAATTAATTTCAAACTTGAATAAATATTGACATTTGTCAAGTTCTAGAGACAACTATATCCCCCTATATTATATGACGCTGATTTTGATAGACACAGTACTCATCCAATAGAAACACTTTTATCATCAATCTGGCAAACATAAATTTAAATAAATAAAGAATGATATCTATATACATATATTGATAATGCCTCACGTTAAATTATCAGCTCTTAATCAAAATTTAGAATTATATTATGAAGTTCATGGTTCCGGGAACACTAAAATTTTATTTATTATGGGTTTATTAACTGATGGTGCTGCTTGGCATTGTCAAGTATTAAAATTTATTTTACTTATTAAGATATATAAAATCTTTATTTAGAGTGAATTTTTTCGTCAACAACCTGAATATCAAGTATGGAATATTAACAATAACATTTGAAAAAGACTTTGTAATGTTTTTTTTCTTTCACTTTGTTTAGTGTGTCACTTATGATAATCGTGGTGTTGCGCGTTCATCATCACCATTTACATTTCAATATACAACAACACAAATGGCTAAAGATGCTATTGCACTTATTGATCATTTAAAATGGACAAAATGTCATGTTGTTGGTATATCAATGGGTGGTATGATTGCACTTGAATTTGCTTTATTAGCACCTGAACGAGTAATTTCAATAACTTTATTGGCAACACATGCTGGTGGTCTAGCTGGTCGTGCACCATTTGTTGGTATTCGTCATATACTTCGATCTTTAGTTATACGTGATGAACATTTACTTGTTGAAAATTCTCTTTCAATGCTTTACGGTCCAAAAACACTCGATGATCCAGAAAAACGAAAAGTTTGAAAATTAAAAAGCATTATTTTCATGTATAAATTTTGTTTTTTGGTTTCTTCTTCATATTAGACTTTGTATAATTTTCATATTCAACGAGTTAAAACACGTATTCGACCACAAGTAATTGGTATATTAGGACATGTATTAGCTGTTCACCGACATTATGTTAGTTATGCTGATTTACTTAAAATTCGTTATTCACCATTTGATTGTTTAATTATGGTTGGAACAGAAGATCGACTTGTACGAGAAGAAAATTCATATATTATTCAAAGAGTTTGTTTCTGTTATTGTTATTTTTTTTTCATTTATTCGATATTATTATATAGACAATCGGTTGTCGACTTGTTAAACTTGAACATGCTGGACATGGTTTACCCGGTGAATGTGCAAAAGAAATTAATGAAACATTACTTGGTAAATCAAAAAAAAAAGAAAATTAGAATATTGTTTATTTGATATATATATTTTTTTTTTTTAAATTAATATAGATTTATTTGAATCAATTCGAACAAATGATTCATCAAAACTTAAACGAGAAGTACCAGAAGAATATAAAACAGAAATAAAAGCACTTGAACAATGTTGTCAACATCGTACTCATTGTCTTATTTATGATATGCTTGGATTGATAAATGTAAGAGAGATTTTATTTTAACTTTACTATTTGAAAAATAGTTATATCAAGGAAAGTATAATGCTCTGTAAGAATATTAATGAGAAATCCTATCGAGTTATCTCGTATTTTCATTTTGTGATATCAATGTTTTTATTAACACGATCTGAGATAGTTTAATCTAATAGACTCACGTGTAGTGAGTAAGAAGATCACCGACTTTTTTGTTTCTCTCATAAAATCATGCGACATTTCACTATCGCAGTGCTTCAATTTTAGCCTTATAAAAAATTCATCAGACTAATTCGATAGGTTTTCTCATTTTATATTTCGCCCTCGTATAAGTCAAATCATTTGTTAGCAAGGTGATAGAGTACGAAATAAAAAATGCTCTTATAACCGAATAAGAAATTCAAAGTCAATTCTTTCATTAGAATTTCATGATAATAAATAAGATAAAAAAAAATTTTTTGTTTCGAAACTTGATAAATTTTAACATACGTCTATGTCAAAAGAACTTATTCACAAAAATGACCTTTGTAAAGAATCAAAGTCAAATGAAAGGTGAATACATCACATATTGCCTAAAGTAGGCCAGATTCTAGTTCAAATATAATCATATTCAAATAATAAAAATGCCCATAGAGAATAGGAAAAGCATAAATGTTAACGGTATATAATTCTATTTAAATTACGTAGCTTTGTTCATTTATGAAGGTTGAAATAATTCATTCGAAAAAATACAACAAAGATATTTTTTTCTTCTTCTAATTTTATCCATTACAATATTTTTTTGTTAATTATATACAAAATAAAATTACTATGTACAATTCGAAATTATTTATAATAGTGACTTTTCACAGTAAGAAATTTTTTCTTTTTCTAATTATAGGGTATATTTCTCGGTTTGATATTATACATATTATTAACGATTTTTGGTTTAACAAGAGGTCAATTGGCTGGTATGTTTTTTACTATTGAAACTGTGATATTAATTGGATGTTTAAAGTAAATTTATCGTATGTTTTTGTTTTTTCTATGTTTATAATAAATTTTTACTTCAGTGGAGTTCGTCGAGCAATTAAATGTGTATATCATGCATTTCATGCACGACACTTTGTTCAAAAACATCAATTATTACTCGATCGAGCAGCTCATCATGGAGGTATTGGTGTTGCTCTACCTGAACAACCAAAAAATGGTATACCACATGGTTGTGGTTTTGAATATCCTATTCATTCAATTATATTTATCATTAGTATTATTGGTCTTATTTATTCAACAAAAATTTATCAACAAAAACTCATTTAGTTATTTGTTCTTTTTTTTTTTCTTGTAACGAATAAATCCGCGATATAAAATTGTATGTTTATGTTTTTATGACTTACTTTTAAAATTTAAATAAATAAATGATCGAATGACTTGTTTTCGTTCTTATATCTATTTTTTGATAATACAATTTAATATTAGTAAACCTAAACTGATTAAAATGATATATTACTTAGTTTTATTGACGCAATAATATCGTTGAATATAATTAACAAATAGAATTTTGACCGGAAATCTTTGATTTCTTTTCTTTTATAGCAAACACTAAATTTCCCTTGTGGTTGATTTTGTGTCCTGTTTTTTTTTCCTGCATTCAGTAATAAATACTAAAACGAATGACTGTTGAGCACGGACAGTATTTCTTTCTTTTTTTTTGTTTCTGAGGAATTCTGTCTATTCATACATGCATCTTGTTTTTGCTTTGTTTCTTTTGCTTTTCTTTTTGTTTCTTAAATCGTAAATGTAAAAAAAAAAAAAGGAAATAAGACATAGAATTGCCAAGATGCGAGCATTAGTTGGAACATTTTAGGTAAAAGAATGAAAAAGAATTGAAACGCAATGCGACATTTGAAGGTAAATAGCAGAAAAAAAAAGAAATAATGTGGAAGCAAGTAAGACTCCTGTTTTTCTTCGCTTCATCACCATCCATTACGGTAGGGATGTTTAAGCTTGGTATATATATTGACAAATCATTTGACACTCGGGTTTATTTTTCTTTATATGATTCGCATTGTCAAAACGATTAATAAATTACCTTTCACATTAGAAATATATATTATTCTTTGAATCTTATCGATTATCAAATAAACAAAAAAACAAAATATTTATTTATAAATTACTTCATTGCGTAGTAGTTTGTTTCCTATATGATAAAAATCATGACAATATACTAGAAACAAAAATGGGTTAATTTGACAATATAAAAGCAACCTAAAAAATATGTTTAGATAGTACAAAAAAAATAAGAAGAATGTTATACATAAAATTCAGTTGTAACTTTTAGTTTAAGGGAGAAAAAAAACAGAAAAACTGAGAAGAAAAGGGTTAAAAATATTTACTCATACCTTTTATCATGCATGTATGGACAAAAATGATGTCATATACTGATCATCAGCCTCCGCTCTATTTTATAAATATATACATTAAATGATTACTTGCTCGTTTTCTTTTTTTTTTCATCATTATTTCACCTTTAGAGAATCTAATGAGCTCACAAATAATGATACAATCCCAAGATGCTTATTTATCTGGCATGACCAATGAAGAAATTGAACTATTGAAAAAACTTGAAGAAGAGAATCGGTAACCAAATATTATAATTTTTTTTTCTCTTTTCATTTCAGTGTACTTCAATTTCTATTGTGATGTTTTTTTTTCTTTTCGTTTAAAGGCGTATTGCATATGATTTAAAATCACCCTCAAGCGTAATTCTCAACCCTATCGTCAATGCATGTTCACCTGAATTACATAATGAACAAGGACGAGAAGATTCAATTTCCAGTGATTTAAATAATTTAACAATTGATAGTGATGGTAGAGTACATTTAAATAAAATTCAATTTTTTTTTTAGTTTCTTTTCTTTATAAATAAATATTTATTTAAGGTAATCTTGAAAATGAATGGGTTATATGGAATAAATTGGTTAATAATTGGCCTGTATATATGAAGAAAAAATCGATATGGATAAAAGTAAAATATACTATCTAAAATTAGATAATGAAATTTATTATTTTTTTTGTTTTGATATTATTTAGGATTTAATTCGACATGGTGTTCCAGTTCATTTTCGTCCATTACTTTGGCAATGTTTAACTAAAATTGATACAACAAATGTTAAACAAAATTATGTTGGATTAATGAAAATGTCATCACCATGTGAGAAAGCTATTCAAAGAGATATAACAAGAACATATCCTGAACATCAATTTTTTAAAGAAAAAAACGGTCCTGGACAAGAAAGTTTATTTAATGTAATTAAGGTTAGAATATAAAAGCTTACGATTTAAAAGAAAGGAATTACTGGTGTCTTCTTTTTTCTAAGGTTTATTCTTTATATGACCGTGAGGTTGGCTACTGTCAAGGTATCGGTTTTATTGCTGGTCTTCTACTTATGCATGTCAGTTATATAAAATAAAATTAAAAAAAAAAAAATTTATATATTGAATGCTTTGTTTTTTGTATGATAGATGCCTGAAGAAGAAGCTTTTGCCGTATTAGTGTCGATAATGCAGGATTATACAATGCGTGAAATGTATAAACCTGATATGTATCATTTAGGCCTTTGTATGTATCAACTCGAATGTTTGATTCAAGTATGTTAATTATTTAAGTATATTTTGATATAATCAATTAATAAATAATATTATATCAGGAATATTTACCTGATCTTTATCGACATTTTCAAGCTGAAAATTTTCATACATCAATGTATGCATCAAGTTGGTTTTTAACTATATTTACAACACAATTTTCATTGAATATGGCTTGTCGTACAATAGATTTATTTTTAAGTGAGGTAGATGATTATTCAATAGATGAAAAAAATTAAAATATTTAACATTGTTCATTTTATATATATATATATATTTATTATACAAAAAGGGTATGGAAATGATCTTTCGTATTAGTATTGCTCTACTTGAAATTCATCAAGATGAATTAATGCTTTTATCGATGGAAGATATGCTTAAGGTAACCTTTTGAACATTGTTTCGAAAGAAAAGAGTAACTTACATATGCATACGTGCATGTCATAATCAATCGAGCAGCTATCGTCATTTGTATATGTATAGCCCATCCTTTCTTCCCCTTTTCACGAAGACGTAATAGATGAGTCGGCGGCGATAGACTTGTGCGTCAGCTGTTTGTCATATCATTGCGTGTATGCTTTCTTCTTTTTTCTTACACCTTTCACATAGTGATATTTTCTTTTCAAAACGAAAAAGTGCAGATTTGTAAGTAAAAAAAAAATCCAATAATAACCTATGAATTTTTCTATATATTATATTATATTATATATATATATATGTATGTGGGCATTCAATCAAGTCAGTTATGTATGTGTACGTATAGGTTTCAACTCATCGAAGTATAGAATAAAAAAAAAAGTGAGAGAAGAAGGAAAAAGGGAGAGAGAGAGAGAAGCGAAAGAGAGAATAAAATGACACCATCGCTGCCGCAATGATTTCATGTTGTATGTGTGTGCGCGTTTTGTTCTGTCCAAACGAGGGTGGAGACATTTGCAACTCACAAAAAAAAGAGAGAGAGAAAAAATAGGCATCCGCATCGATCCTTGCGTTTCACCAACTTACATTGATTTATATGCATGGACCGTCGTTTTCATGCTGTCCAAGATCGTCTAGCTGAACATTATGCTCAAACATTAAAAACTGTTCAAGGTTCTGTATCTGCGGTTACATCTGTAAGTTTCAAAACAATTAATAATTTGAAAAAATTTTCTGAATAACAAAAAGAAAATAATTTCAACATAGTCTCTGTAGTGAATGAGAGGAAAAAAAAAGGCATTTATTTGCATAATAGTAATGTACTCACCCACAAGGTGATAAAGAAGTCATTGAACGATATGTACATATTCACTCACGTTCAGAACTTATTCCTATGATTATGTGATTCGATTTTTGTGACCTTGTTGTCTATAAATAAGTACACCGTTAGTTTCATAAGACACTAATCAAATTACTATACAATGAAATGTATGATTAATCAACCTGTCATTAATTATATATTTTAGTATTTTCAAAAAGAAATACCTA